ACGTCTCTTACCTTAAATAGAGTTGTCTTTTTTAAGGTGGATGATAGTGGATCTTTGTCTTGATTCCATTCGTAGATCTATTTCTAGCCATTTGGCGAATAATATTCTGAATTAATTAAAGGTTTGAGAGCAAAAAATACTATTTTTATTGTAATAAAACCATATTAATCGAATTACTAATCTTTCTCGCTAGGAATATTTAAAATACTCGATCTCTTATTTGTAGTTTTACTGTTTCAATTTGTTACAACAGTTAGCTACCAGACTTTCACAAAATGGTCAACTATTATTAAAGAATAAGAATCACTTTACAAATTTTCAACTTCTAAAATTCAATACTTATCTATTGAAAACAATCCGCTAATTTTGGCAAACATGAACAAAATGCGTATTAGTAAGTTATTGTAAGTATTTTTTATTTCATTATTCTCTTTTGTATAAGTTTCATTGACCTCTTTTGTCAAATAATTTAAATGTACAGTTCAAGTTATAAAATTGGTAGTGCAACTAGAGAGATTCACATATATTTTGATTTTAAGTTAACATTTCTTTGAAAATTTAATGCTCAACACGATAGAAATCATTTTTCGTGTATGCTCAACATTTCCCTCTCTGCATTTATCAAAGATATTATAATCCATGATCAATTAATCACTATATATCATACTTCTAAAATCATCTGATATGGTAAAGAAAGTTAAGTTGTTGACTAATATATCTAAAATGGCTTTTAAAATCCAATAAATATCATAAAGAATTATAGATCATAAAACTGACAGCAGCCCCTTTTATTGTTGAGTCCCGCTTCGTCTACACGCCGGGTTACACGCCGGTCAAATTGTCTGTATACAGACAATTTGATCGGCTAGACAGACAATTTGATCGGCATTTTAAGAAGAAAATTGATTTTCATACATACAAAATATAAAGAGTTGTTTGTATCACAGATATTTTAGACCTGAATTTTTCATAAAGTGTCTGTGATACAGACATTTTTTTTTATTTTTGTCTGTGTGAAAATCGATTTTCTTCGTAAAATGCTGCTCAATATGTCTGTCTGTGTAGCCGGTCAAATTGTCTGTACACATGTACACAGACAATTTAACAAACGTGTAACCCGGCGTGTAAAACTTGGCCTGTACAATTTATTGTTTAGTAAAGGGAGCCCCGTGAACCCCGTGATGAATGTTTGAGTGATGCCATCCACACATGCAGGATATTAACTAATTCAACCGGGGTTTGGTACTAGTTTGACTATTTCAGCTCATCTAGTTTTGTTTGATCTAAATATATTCACTTTTTCCTATATACGAAGTATATATTTGTTTAAAATATTATATTTGTGTTAACATAATAAGAGCATTAGTTAGAATCTTAATATAGTGTTTAATGTTTATTATTCATAACAATCCAATGTGTGATAAATATATAGTTCAACAATCTGCCATGATCGAGTTTTAATATTTGCTTTTTAGGTTGTCTAAGAAGTCGTTTGGCAACACTGTGTTTCGATTTATCAGACTTATCAACCAACTTTTTCACTAAACACGAAACTTTTGCTTTCGCGTGCTGAATTATGTAATAAGTAGAAAAAGTAAGGTTGGAGTTACTTTTCCGGCTGTATTGGCTGAAGTTACTGTATATGACCATTTTAGCTATTTTTATATATAATTTTTTCTTTATTTTATTAATAAAATATATTTTTAAAATATTTTTTTCTTAAATTCGCAGTTATAGACAATGCAACCACTGCCAGAGCTTCATAAATTTCAGCAAAGTCAACTAAAAAATCGATTGACGTGTTACCAAATGGGCTCTAAATCTAAATATTATTAGTACCTAGCTTTTTATTGAACAAACGATCAGTAACATCAACCAGTCAACCACAACTTTATCATATTTTTTAGCAAAAGAGATCAGATCACAATGAACATGAATAATGTTTACTCCGTATCATTTATGCAAAAAGACGTATAGAACCGTGTACTTTTATATATTTTTAAGAGGACTTGGGAGAACGTTAGAAATATGTACAAGAGATATTAAAGTTATTTAATTATAAATTTATGAGAAACACCCTAAATAGGACTAAAACGTTTGTATATTCCAAAATAGGAATATCCTATTTTTATTCTCAAAATAGGGCTAATTACTGTCACGTTTTGTTCAGACTTTAAACATGACAGTATTTTTCAAGCATGACAGTAATTACACCTATTTTGTGAATAAAAACATCGCAATCCTATTTTGTAATTTTCAAACACTTTTACTCCTATTTCAGGAATTTTCCCTAAATTTATTCTTAACAGTTTAACCAAAGGAATTGAACTCTTTCAGTTATATAGACCAGACCTTGGAATTGAGGTGAAACCCCTCGTTCGCACAAAGTGGGCCGGGCAGCTTCCACCAACCCCCATCCACACTTAGAAATAAACGGGTCTGGGCGGATATGGTCTGGTAAATGTTTATAACTATGAAAGTTTTGTCTAGTCTTGTCTAATCTGATTTAATCTTGTCTATTTGATGTTATCTGATCTGATCTGATCTGGACTCGTTGTTTAAGTCCGGACTGATCTGGTTTGTGAGTTGAAACAATCCAAAACAAAACATTCTTGTACATGCATTGCACAATGGGAATGTTTCATGTTTGTCTTATGGCGCTTAAATGCTATTTATTTATATTGAATGGATCGGTTATTACAACTTTCTCTATATAGTCTGAGCGGATGCAATGCATTTACTCATACTAATGTACTCCGTAGTACTACTATGTAGCTTAGCTTCAAGTCCTAACAAGTGTATTTTGGTTTTTCAAAAAAAAGTGTATTTTGGTTTTTCAAAAAAAAGTGTATTTTGTTGTTTCATTTATTTTTTGTCTGTTCGAGAACTCCAAATTAACATACAATGACTTTTGATGTCTTTTATCGATTACTCCTAAAAAATATTACCTCCCTCCATCCCTAATTTGAGTATCCCTAAATAAAGTCATACTCCGTACTTCCTTATTTTTTAAACACAACTATACCAAAACAGTACAAAACATGCAAAATAGTTTCAAGTAGTGTCAAAACAATGTACTAAAAAGTAAAATTTGTCTCTCAGTAAATTTATTTCCTTAATATATATGTCTGAAGTCAAATTGTGACTTTGATTAAGGGACGAAGGAAGTATACACGTTGTATGTAGTGCTACATCCGTCCCACTAACATTGAGATACGAGAAGGTAGCACGGTTATTAAGAAAAGTGAATTTATGTTATTCATATTGAATTAATAAAGGAGAAAGGGGTCAAATAAGACCTTATACTATTATGAAATAGTCACATAAGACCATGTACTCAATAAAGTGTCATATAAGTACTTCTACTTGTATAAAACAATCAAATGAGTCCTAACGGCTTATTTAACACCTTCTAATCCCGTTTTTAGCGATTTTTTTGACTGGTATTTCAACCAATCTTAGTTAAATATTCGACATATGTTGTATAATGTATTCTAAAAAGATGATCAAAAGTACATTGAAACCGGGATTAAGAGGTGGTAAATAGGTCATTAGGACTCATTTGATTGTTTTTTACAAGTAGAGATACTTATATGACACTTTTCTCATTAATAGTAGAAGGTCTTATTTGACCCTTTTCTCATTAATAAAGTAAGAATAAAGTAAAATTGATGTAGAGCCAAACAAACTTTATCAAAACTTGTATATATGTGACAATCTTAGTGGGATTTCACGAAAAGAAAAAATGAGACAATCTTAACGGGATGAAGGGAGTATTAAATAACTTAAAACTTTATCTGCAGTTACATTTTATACATGATGTGTTCTTTTTTATCTGTATTAAAGCATCTCTAATGCCAATTTTATCTGTATTAAACATCAACAGTGCATACATGACATGAGAGATAGCCAATTAAAAACAATAAATAGAATATTTATCTCCTTATTTGAACAATCTTCTACCTCTGTCCCAATGAGCTTTGAACTCCTTGAATTAGATGTGAAATAAGAATAGTAAAAATTGTGTGATTGAAGTTTGTGCAGAGGGGAGAGAAATGAGCAGAACCACAAAATAGTTACATTAATGGGAAAGTGGCAAATTTTTTGGGACAACAAAAAAGGAAAAGTTGGCAAAGTTCAATGGTACGGAGGGAGTATGTTTTTAGTAAGTTTTTCTTCACAATGTCAAATATAATGCCAAGATGTAGACTTTGTACTTGACATTATTGAGAAAAACTTGTCAAAAACACATCAGACCGTGAAAATAAGGAGAGGAAAATGTCATAAATTTAATCTTTTGTTTCCAACTCCCTCATGCCACATGTCCATAGTGCAGATTATAGCATTGAAAATACTCTCAGTTCATTTGCAATTTAACACCCTTATTGTTTTGCTTGCTACAATAGGGATTTTCACAATATAAAAAAATAGTAGGGATAATGAATAGTATAGAAATAATAGGAGAGATAGTGAAAAATAAAAAGAGACGAAAAATAGAAAAGATATGAATAATTAAATATTTTTAAAGAGAAAACTTCTAAAAAGAAAAAATGTAGCAAGAAATATAAGAATATTCGTAATGGGATCAACTATTTTTGAAATATGTGACAAAATTATACCACAAATTTAACTCTCTGATATTCACGATACGCCACTAGGTGTCCCCTCTCAAAATGAAAAAATGATGATGAATATAATGAATTGATAAAAATATTTTTGTCATTGATAAAATATCAAAATACTACCCTAGTTTAACTCCTAGTTTAACTGTAGTAATAATATGTAGGACAAAATTCTTTTTGTCCTACAAAATTTTGCCAAATTGTTTTATTTAACTGTTAAAAACATTATCATTTGCATGTAAATGAATAAATGTGTGGTTAAAGTTATTTATTTCTTTTTTATTCAAATCTTAATCATATAATTTTACTTTATAATTCTACTAACAAATCAAATTTGACTAAATTTTGTAGAATGAACCAATATGTATTCTCTAACTTATCGAATTGACCTTTTAAAATGGTTTCCTTTTTTGACAAACCTTTCTAATCTATTATAGTATCTATTCTCTTTAGAAGTATCACAATTATGTCATCAGATCACATGACACTTGACTTTTACAATGGTATCTTAATTAATACTTGTACATAGGTATGGACCAGGCCCGGGCCCGAACAAGGATTGGGCGGGACTGGGGATTTGGGCTGAAGGCCGATACCGACTCAGGTGTGAACCGGGCCGGGTCAATTTTTTCTAAAAAAAATAGTTTTTCTAATTTATTCCTACCCTTCCACCCATCCGCCAAACCCCACCAAAACATCCAACTCAACTCACCTAACAACGGCCCAATGCCAAAAAACTAAAAAAAATGACCCAAACCGATCCCGGACTGACCGGGCTGATCCACTAAAATAAGGTCCTGAAGCCCGTCCCATTTGTCCCTCGAATCGGGCCCCAGTACCAGTCGTGATACCGCCCGCCGGGCCGGGTCAGGCCTGTATAGTGGCGGATCGGGTCGAGTCTCGGGCCGAGCCGCCCTGTCCCGGTCCATCCCCATGACTAGTACGTAGTATACATCACTCTCTCTTGATAGGTGATTCTCTAATAATCAACAGCCAACGCAACATTTTATCTTTTGCAACAAATGACACTTCAACCACTTCCTCTACTTTGCTCGCATCTCTGCTTTGCTTCTTTTTGCATCGTCCCCCTACCTATACCCCCCTCCCCAGGATTTACAGATCTCGTCCCATTTCTTCTTGTCTCTTTCTTTTTCCTTTCGTTCTTTCTTTTTGTTTTCGTTTTGTCTGCAACTCCAATATAATAATTGGAGTATGATATAGTAAATATAGCTGACTTAAGAAAGCTTGGATATGGGTTCTGTTGGGCTTCCCAAACCTCTGCCACCATATGTGTATGATAGCAGCGGCAGCCATGGCGGTTGTTCAGAAATGATCTGCACCAAAAATTGTCTTCAATGGTGCATCAACCTCCTTCCTCCTCCACCGTCCGATGAAGATTCCGGCCCCAATTTCTCCCCCCTCATCATAGTCATCATCACCATTCTGGCAAGTGCTCTGTTCTTCGTCACCTTCTACACCGTCTGCACGAACTACACCAGAAGAAGACGGCGGCGGCGGCAGCGAGATTTGGAAGCGAATCTCGACCAGACCCCGCCGGTGGCCATACCGGCGGATGATGCGGCGGAAATCGTGAAGAAGAACATCAAGGTTTTCAAGTACAAGAAAGCCTGCGGGGGCGTCGGCGGCGGCGATGGAGGGGCCGTCCAATTCCACGACACAGAGTGCTCTGTTTGCTTAGCGGAGTTTGTGGAAGACGAGAATCTTAGGTTGCTGCCTAAGTGCAGCCATGTCTTCCACCTCCTATGTATTGACACGTGGCTGAAATCTCAACCCAGTTGCCCGATTTGTCGCGCTAACGTTGTCCCGATCGATCCATCTCCGTTGCCGGCGCCGACGCCGGCAACGGCACCGCTGGCCTCCACCTCTCGAGACAACTGAAGATGATATGTACCAGTTTTGGAGCTCATCAAGAGATTAGCTTGTAGATGATAAACAAGATCAGATTTTTGATACCATAAATTGGGGTTCACATATCTTCAAGAGGATTGGCCTAAACTCTATACATTAATGGTGGGTTTTGTATAATTTTTATATTTAAGAGAGAACAGTTTTATATTTAATCAATTAGCCAAGTTGAAAATGGCCTGATTGAAAAACTATGGATTTGAAGTTATAGATTTGTCAAATTATGAGCAAGTAGCACGAAAATCGGCTGATTTGATTGATTCTGCTGAAATTTATGAAGCCTTGGTTAAAGTGTTTGTATTGGCTGATTCTGTTGATTTAAAAAAAGAAAATTAAAATATATTTTATTAATAAAATAAAGAAAAAATTATATGTAAAAATAGATAAAATGATGAAAAGTATCTACATTAACTTCACCCAATACAGTCAGAAAAGTAACTACAACCTTACTTTTTCTCTTATTACACAATTAAGCGCGTGAAAGCAAAAGTTATATGTTTGGAGAAAAAAATGGCTGAAAAGTCTGATAAACTGAAAAATTGACAAATGGCCAACACGGTTAGTGTATGTGATGTTGTCTTCTTTTGCATATAAATATATAATCATCCTAATTTTGATCTCTTAAAGGAAGGCTGCAGGTTCCATCAACTGATACAATATCAAATTATCCATTAAAAGAGTGTTTGTGATTGTTTGTATGTCAAAAAAACTATTTTTTTTATATCGTTTTAGAGAAAGTGCATAAAAGTTGATAGTACTTCCTCCGTTCTTTAAAACTTTGACACGTTTGATTGGCATGAGAATTAATAAAGTAAAAACAGTGTAATTGAGGTTTGTGCACAGGAGAGAGAGTTAATTGAAACCACAAATTCTTTACTTAAAAGAGAAAGTGATAAAGTTAGTGAGATATCAAAAAAATGAAAATTGACAAAGTTTTAAGGGACGAGTATTATGTATGAAGCATAATAAAGATTGATCAATAAAAAATTTAAGTAAATGATAAATATATATTCCGTATGTGCTAGAGAATAGTTCGTTATATAATGGAGGTAAAATCCTCTTCTATTGAAGCAAGATTGTATTTTTATTGGGGCCAAAATTATACTATCGTACGTACTATTTTAATTGGGGGCATGTGCTTAGTTTGCCATTTTTATGAATTTAATATATTTTTAATTGGATTGAATTTTTTTTATGTAATCTGATATGGTCTGAATTAGTATAATATGGTCTGATGGGTGTCTGGTTTCTATGTATTTTATAATTGTCCAAATCTAATTTAGTCTTGTTTGATTTGATATGATCTTATCTGGTCTGATCTGAGATTTAAAATAGACCAAATAAAAACATTATGTATATGGTTATGTTTGGCAGACATAAGTCTTTGCCTTCTAGCTTTTGTAATATTGAAAAAGTCTTTAAAATCTTCTAGTTGTGTGTTTGGCAGACATAGTTGTTATTTTATGTAAAAATAAAAGATCTTTTTTGATATGCTACTGTGAGTAGCATCTCAGATAAGTCAGTAACTTCTAGTATTAATCAGTCTTAACAACTTGTATACCAAAAAGAGCTAAATCAAACAGTCAGCTTTTTACCAAACAGGCACTGCCTTTTCTTTTTAAGATCTTTTCAGTTACTAAAAAGCTCATAAAAGTATCTTTTCAGCTAGTTGTGCCAAACATACTCATACTATCATAGTACTACCTCCGTCCCGCTATGATTGTCCTGTTTTACCTTATGAGTCTGTCCCACTAAGATTATCCCATACCAAATTTGGTAAAGTGTGTGTGGCTCTAAATCATTCTTACTTTATTCTTACTTTATCAATTCAATATAAACCACATAAACTACTGTTTATTTATTTGCGTGTCACTCCCTCTTGTCCCATTGTTAGCGGGACGGAGGGAGTATCATGGACGGGAGATGTCCAAATCGGAGGCCTTGTTTGTTAGATTAGTTCTGGTCCATGAAATTGTTTACATGGCCTCTTTTTTATATTGTGAAGGATTCTTTTGATTCATTATTTTTTACATATGCTACCTATTTTATCAAACAAGCCCATCTCTCTATCTGAAGATGAGTTTGAAAAAATAAAGTTCAGTGTCTCAAATAGAAAAGTGAAATATTGATAAAAGTTTATATCCGATCCACCTGATTAGCATGATCAATTGTTTGGAAACATTTCTTCTTCTCCGAAAACAAAAAACAGAACAAACACTTTCTGTAATGAAAAACACCTACCTTAATCTTTATGTCGCTTTATTTATTTATTTGATCAAATTAAAGTTAGAATAGTTAGTCGGCCACTGGAATCTTTGGTCGGTTTTGATGGAGAATATAATCTATTTTTTCACCTAAAATAAGTAGCCCAGTGGAGTAAATTAACGTGGAATTGTCACGTCTTTCTTTTTGGAGAGACATGACCAGGTTCGAATAGAATTTAGCACGAATTTGAACAGTAAAATTACTATCTTTTTTTTTATAATCCAGTTGTCGGGGCTTACGCTCCCATAATCCTGGAGTCTATGAACTACCCTCCAAAGCCCTTAGACAGTTAAGTCCGGATCTGATCACAGTCAGCTTCGTCAGTACTGGCTCCAAAGGACGAATCCAGCAGGACTTACATCACCTTTCAGGCTGCTCCTCCCACCACACGAACCCGCTACCTTCATTACCATCCTCTCCCTTCTCAGCCGCTGAGCAACTCCGTGAAGGTAGGAAGAATCATTGGGAGCAAGACCTCTCTTCTCTCTCCTCTCTCCTAAATGTGCCTAGCGGGATTCGAACCCGAGACCTCCGCTAGGACACGGTAACCTTCCACCCAGTGAGCTGGAATGGTTGGTTTTATCCTTTTTTTTCCTCAGTTTCAGTCCAGACACGTGCTCTCCCACAGAAAAATCGGCCTATTCAACATTTTTAGTTATTTTATTTTTGGAAAATTCTAGATCTATACTTTTTTGTTTTAAACTCCTTATTCTCTCTATGTACATAAGGAAAATTCCTTTTGTACACGCCAAATTTTACACGCCGGGTTACACGACTGTCAAATTGTCTGTGTACACACAATTTGATCGACTGCACAGACATATTGAGCGGCGATTTACGAAGAAAACCGATTTTTACACAGACAAAAATAAAAAATGTCTATTATCACAGACACTTTATGAAAAATTCAGGTTTAAAATGTTTGTGATACAGACAACTCTTTATATTTTATTTGTATGGAAATCGATTTTCATCATAAAACGCCGGTCAAATTGTCTGTCTAGCCGTTAAATTGTCTGTATACAGACAATTTGACCGGCATGTAACCCGGCGTGTACACGAAGCGGGACTATGTACATAATTAGTTTGTGTACATGAGTTGTTTATGGAGTTTTTTTGCGAATTAATGTTAATTAATTAATTAATTAATTACGAAAATAATGCTGTAAAAAAATATTTATCGATCTACTGCTGGGTTTAACCATGGTTAGGGAAAGTTGTCCAACGGTTGGGAGACTTATAAGTCGCCAAACCGTTTGACGACTTATAAGTCGCCCAACCGTTGGACGACTTTTCCTTCCACATGAACGCAGGTCAGCAGCTACTGTCAGTCACGCACGATCGTGCCTGCAAGGGTAGGCACGATCGTGCCTAATTCTGAAAACAGAATTTCAGCAATTTTTTTGCCCCAGTTCAACCCAGACTCATCTGTTTGATATAAATAAGGTCTTCCTTCTCCTGTTTAAGTGTTACGAGCCAGATACAATACATTATAAAACATCTTGATACAGAAGTAATCATCCAAGAAAAACACATACAACACACCAGTAAAACACAGTACATACAATCATCCAATATTCATAACAAGTAATCATCTAAGACAACATACAAGAGAAAATACGTAAAATGTTGTAAATTGTTCCTACAACATCTACTTTACAAGAAAAACTGCAATACAAAAGGCAAAGTAGAAGTTCTCATGGTCATCTTGATCACTCGGTCCAGGATCCGCTGTCACCTCCATGCCTACCAAAAAAATCGTATTAGTTAATTTTTAGTATTATACGAATTATACTTTTTTTCGTCATCCATTTTATTAATTAATATGTTTTCATGCAACGCTAAGATGAATTGTGAATTACTATAATTAACACCTTACCCATTGGACCCCCCATCGTGTCTTGACGATCTCTTCGCACATGTGGCCCTATTATGACCGGATTGGTGGCATTTTCCACATCTAACCGTTCCTCGGGGACCTTCATCTATCTCATTCTTAATACGTGTCGACTTAGGTCTTCCCTTTGCCCGAAACATGGATGGATCGTGCATGATTTCAGGTCCATTGTAAGTAGGCCAATAATGATGATCAGGAATGAGTTTGAAGACTCTATGATATGTGGCCGTGTATTGGTCAGATGAGAAAAACTTATCAACAAATGGAGCATAAGACAAGCTACGTTGTCTGCACACGGCTAACACATGGAGCATGGAATCTTATATATCTCCATCTTTTTGCAAGTGCAAGTTTTCCGTTTAAGATGAACAGTTTGTTTTCTCCCACCCTTCCCCAACGTTCGGCCACCACAACCGGTTTCCACTTGAAATAACCCTTGGCCTAAATCAAATGGAGTAACTATGTGATGTATGGGGAGTACTGGTTTCACGCCTATTAACAAAATAAGCATTAACCCGGTAAAAGAAAACCTGGACTAAAGCGGTGATGGGCAAATATCTGGCATTTTTCATCACAATGTTGAAAATCTCTGCCAGATTAGAAGTGATGGTACTGTATCTGTACCCGCCATCGTGGTGCAACGACCACATTTCCGAGGGAATGTTCCCCAGAAATTGTCGTGCCTCCAAACCCATTTAACCTATCTTCTTGAACCCACCGTCAAACTTCTTTTTCTGATGTTGTCGTGCGGTCCAGACAAAAAGATTTTTTAGATCAATGTCTTTGAAATGAGTGTGCACATTCGATGCAAGATGGCGGATACATAGCCTATGATGCGCATAAGGCTCCTCCCAAGTACTGTCCACCTCATTCATTGCCTTGACAATACCTCCATGCCGATCAGAAATGACACACAACTCTCTATTAGTGACAAACTGTCTAATACATGTCATAAACCATGACCAACTATCCCCATTCTCAGATTCAACAACTGCAAAGGCCACTGGAAATATTTGGTTGTTCGCATCACAACCCATGGCCACGAGCAATGTACCCTTGTACTTTCCATACAAGTGTGTGCCATCAATAGTAAGTACGGGTCGACAATGCTTAAAACCATGTATTGATGCCTTGAATG